ATGAGACCCACACACACACACACACACACGCACACACTCACACACATACACACACACTCACCGAACCGCCGAAGTTTCAGTCGCGCGCACGTCCTCCGGCGTCCCGTTCACATTCACCTCTGCTGAACCGGCTTCACTCCGCATTTAGTCCAATTGTAAAAGAGCAGAAAGAGGCGCGTGTGTTTGCTCATCTGGAAACGCGGCGCAGTCCAGACTCATGAATGAAGCGAGTCTCCTCAGGAGAAACAGAAGAAAAGAGCTGCATCCTAAAGCTCATCGGCCCGATTCAGATCAACACGACCGCGGAGAGACACACTGAGGGTGATGAGGCGAAGCGCGGCTCACACACACGGCGACTTTACGTGGTCTGATGATACTCTCTATTAATGAACAGGTTAATTACTCACACACACACACATACACAGACGAGTGCTGGTGCGTGAATAACAGCGTAATATCAGAAAGAGCGGCAGATCAATGAATGAAACACAGGGAAAGATGACCAGAAAGACAAGAGAGGATGGTTTGTGTAGGATTATGAAGGGTGTGTGTTAGACTGATGTGTGCAAACACACACAGGTGAGAAACCAGTAGAATGAAGAGAGAGAGAGAGATGAGTGTATTATAATGTGTGTTTGTGATCACACACACTCACACACACACACACCTGACTGAGGTAAGACACACGTCTCTCTCTCTCTACGTCACATACTGCATGTGTGTGTTCATGTGTGTGGTTTGCAAACAGAACACACACACACACTCACACAAACTACAGTGAACACAAATCAACCTACCTACAGTCAAACACACCAGCCGCGGGATGAGGAGGAAGAGGAGGAGAAAAGAAGAAGAACAAGAGGTAAGAACACACAGTCTCTCCAAAACCTCCGGCTGCCGCTCACAAGTCAGAGAAATTATAGATGAGATAGATGGAGAAATAGACGAGCAGGCAGATGATGGACAGCGCGAGCAGATGAGAGGAGAAAGCACCTCCCACGACCACGATGAGGAAGAAGAAGAAGAACAAAAAAACAAAAGAAAAAGGCGAATAGTCCGGCCGCCTCCGTGCTGCTGCTCTTTTGGAGGGTGTGCGTGTGTGTGTGTGTCCCTCTCTCTGACGCCTCGCGAAAACACCTGCTCGCAGCACACACACACTCACACTCTCATGCTGCTGTCGGGACACACACACGCTGCATCTGTATGACTGCACCAAACACACACACACACACACACTCGAGCGCTGCTGCCGGTGAAGGAGCGCAGACACCGGGCAGATCTCTCTCTCTCTCCATCAGTTCATCAGTATTCACTGGCAGACAGCGCTGATGAGAGCTGCTGTGTCTCCCTCTGCTGGCACGCACTGCCACCAACGTATCTGTCAAGTCCTGTCTTTGCACAACCCATCGAGATCCCTCCAATCATCTGATCAGAGGCTGTTGACTGCTCCTAGGGCAAGACCAGAGGCCCCTGGGCTAAAGCTTTACCCCCCCCACCTTCCCTATTTACTCAAAACATAAACATTTCAATTGGTGATCATGCACGAATAAATTCAAATGTCCTACCTTCAGAAGCTTTTCCTCCTTTTTCTTTTTTTACTGAGAAGTCCTTTATAAGCTCGGTAAAATCCAGTTTCTGTAGAACGTCGCTCTAAAGAGACATTAGAGTCCGATGACAAAGACGCTCCTGGCCCGTGACAGATCGCAGCCTGTTTTTTACTAAGGCCAGTTTTGAGAATGAACGCTCGCCGGTGACTAATTTCCGTTGTTTTATTATCTTGACGAGAGTTCTTGCCGTGGTGTTGGTTTCATTTTGGATGAGTGCTTTAAATTGTAGAAGTTCATCCACTAACTCCATTTCCAAATCTCTGCAGTACTTATTTTGCCATTTTGTTGCAGACGAACGCAGCTCTTCTGGAGTCAAGGAGAGGATGTTATTTAAAAAACCAAAGTGCTGGTTTACAGTGTCGTAGGAGCTGAATCTGCGGTCCAGCTCCGCTACAGTCTGTCAATCACCAGTACAAACACGCTAGATGAGAACAGATCACATGGATTCGCCACTGCACTTTATGCGCTTCTCTGGTGTTGAGAGTCCGGTTTGTACACCCCAGACACATTTGTTTTGCCATTGCTTCAAAAGTGTCGAACTGATTTCGGAGTTCTGCAACGAAATCCCTTAATGATCGCATCAAATCTACAGCAACAGGCAAATCAAGACCAACTGTTTGAAGGGTTGTGCTTGTCTTGTAAAATTGCTGCAGAATTGTATTCCACATGTTACAGAGGAAAGCGATTTCCAGTTTATCCATTTTCTTGCTTAGTCGGCTGGCTTCATCACGAGTGGTTAACTGCTGGTTAGTGTCATCAGCTATCTTTCTCAAGGATTCCTGGATGCTGGCGTAATTTAAACAGAGTGCTTTAGTGGCTTGGGCGTGCGCTGACCACCCATTCAACTAAAGGGTTTATCTCTTTGATACGCGAATGCAAGCCCTTATAACAGCTGGACATGTTGTTGGCATTATCGTAACACTGCCCTCTGCAATTGTCGAAGTTTAAGAATGGATCAAACTGGCTAATTCATTCTAAGATTCCCAAATAGTTACCGAAAACGGCACTATGACCCCTAAAAAGGAAGGCCACGCTCTGCCAGGACTCGGTGAGTCTCGGAGCCCTCATGCTCCACTATGCGTTCTTTTGCATGCTTCCAGGCACTGAAACCACGTGTGAACGTGTTGGCTGTATCTCCAAAAATGTTACTTGCAAAACACAACATTTTTCCTTGGGAAGGTGAATACAAAACCCATTCTCTGGTCACACACTCTCCATTTCCAAGTTCACGTCTGAAATAACTTTGTGAAAAGTGAAGTTTCTGATGTTTATACACGCGTTCTGAAGCTGACACGTACACAAGATACAGGTCCTTTTTTGGCCCAGTATGCCCGCGCATTATAGTCTATTTTATTCCAACAGCCCGGATCTGTACTGAAAGAATCGTTAACAGTGCTCTCGAAACAGAATCAGGGCTTGCTGTGTCGACTCTGCTGCACCCTAAGACTAATTGAGCTAGACGCATCTTCCATATTAGCAGGTGCACTACAGACATTATCAAGGCCCATAACGGGTGTAGATATTCTTTCACCTTTTGAGCAGTGTTGTTCAGAAGGTTTTGTTGTTTTATTGCCGCTGTCTTGATTGTCTACAGGGCACATTTTAGATCCATTTTGAAGCCCGTCGCTTTGGCTAGCATCCTCAAAAGGCTGGTTAACATCAGTTGTTGCAGAACAGGTATTACTATCTGCAGGCTTGAAATATCCTGTAAGTTTGGGTATTTTTTTAAGCTGCTGATTGCATTGTTATATCAGTTTGTGCATTTTTATTTTTGTGTGCCCCACTCTCGTGCTTCTTGAAGTTTGCCATTGTTTACACTATTTAGCATACAGTCAGTCACAGTGCGCTGGTTAACGAAAGGATGCATCCATTAACCAATCAACGCCAAGGGCGGCAAATTACAAATCTCCTTAATTAAAGAAATGTTGACACTGATTTCTATGGAAAGCAGCAACAATAATCCTTTCAATTAAAATTGCTTTGTTCCTATCAAGTTTACATTGTGTGGGTAACTATAAAGTGTACTCTGTTTTTCTCCCAGTTCACTGGCCACTTACTTTCATGTATTTGGGGAGAAATGGGCGAATCATGTGATGCTAATGCATTATAGATCAACTAACATTTTTAGAGTGGTGGAAAGAGTACTGAAAAAATATACTCAAGTAAACGTACCATTACCTTCCAAAAATGTAGTGTGAGTAGAGTAAAAGTACTTGTCCAAAAAACTACTTGAGTAAGAGTAAAAGAGTAGCCTATTTAAAAGTACTCATGAGTATTGAGTAGTGAGTTGTTCTAGAAGGATGGCAAATTCATGCCATACCTTTTACTCGAATTGTTATGCTGATAATACAGTTTGTAAGGAAAAATGCAATAAATAGCGAAGTATTTCTGGGGAAACTTTTTCAAAGAAAAACACACACACACACACACACACACACACACACACATACGCATGTAGTGTTGTCAAAAGACCCGGTACTTCGGTACCAAGTCGGTACTAAAAAATGAAAACGTTACGGTACTAGGTTTTTGTAAGTACCGGTGGTACTGAGTACCCGGTCAACCTGGTTCTTGATGCGCTGTCCGAAAGTTATCCTCTTCATAAAAGCACTGAGACGTGGCGACATCAAAACGAGGAAACACACCAAACTAACAAAACACTTTAAAGACACCCAGATCAAATGAAAGAGTTTGTCATTTTCATTTCATCTTGCCTGTAATGCCAGCGTTTGGGAGCGCAGCGCAGCGCTGCTTTGTGTACAGCTGCTACCGGGGAAACCTGATCTCTCACGCTCTACAAGCGCCTGCTGCTGGCAGAAAATCAGTTTGCATATATTTACATGTATTTAGGAGCTGAAAGTACATGGACGCCACCACAAAGTCATAATTACGAGTGAAACGCTGAACCTTCTTTAAGCCCAGAGTTTCTGAGTTTCTGTCAGTGATGTTTCTGCAATGGATGTTTGTAATGTTTTGTAGTCTGTACTGTAAATTTGTTAAAATTAATTAAAAACAAAACAAAAAAAACATTTACAATACAAAGTCACATACACAATATGATAGTATTGTAAAATTATAATACAATTTACAGCACTTTCATAAATGGAATAAAATAATAAAAAAGCTAAAACAGAATTTGTAGAATTTGGGTTTTTTTTTGTAGAAATGGATGGTCGAGCTCACTGTCTCATCACAACAAAGCACAAAGACACTTTCCAGAACTTTCACATTCACTGTTCCTCAGTGGTGGTAAGCTCTTACCTACTCAACCCAACATGTGAAGAAACGACTCTTCTGTGAGCACTTGATCCACTTTCTACACTCTGAAACCCTTGATCTGCTGCGACTGGTTTAGAGCGGTAAAATGGGAGACAAAATAATATAATATATAATAAAACAACAACATGAAATAACTAAATAAAACACTAGCCTTCAAATAAAAAATTAAATTAAATAAATTCTAATTTACAATATAATACAATATAATTTACAATTTAAAATTACAATAATATAATATTACAAATAAACAATAAATATAATGGCTATGGCATTTGTATGACTTTATAAAAGAAGAACTCGAACAAACAGATTAAGGAATAGTTTTCATGCCAAAGCCATTTCTGTTTTAAATACTGCAATAACTTAACCTGAATACCACGTGCAATGTTTAATGAGCCGTGCAATTCTGTGAGATTAATAGTTTCTATGCTTAAACCCTCTATTTTGAATACTGCAATAACTTAACTGAACATTATGTTGAAAATTCAATGTTAAATATGAGTCGTGTAACCGACTGTTGAACGTGAGATGTGTTAGGTGTGTAATGGTGTGTTTTTTTTTTATATTTTTGATCCTGTTATCTGTTTACTATTTATTAGATTTATTTATTTTGTTAGATTATGCACCCAATGGGTTGCATTTCAATTTTGTTGTGCTTGTACAATGACAATAAAGACATTCAATCCAATATTCAATAAAAGAGGAAAATTAAGAGACTAAGTGAGATTGGTCTTGTGTAAAGTGGCCTTCCACATGACTCCTTATTTATCAAGAAAACACATCATAGGTCTTTCACACAGCAGCTTTACACTGAAAACACATGGCCTATGTCTTAACGTCAACAAAGACTCATTCGTTGGACATTGATGTGAATGAGAGATATACAAATGATATCAACATAAAGAAAGTTCTTTGTGTAATGCTAAAAGCATGAATGTAAATCTATGTATGTAAATGTTCCAACCTGAACACATTTCTGCTAAATCTTGTCATCTGATCCTCCATCTTCACTAGAAATTTACTCTGGATATTTACATGAAACTGTGCAAATGTGGCTCCTCTGAAGCTGATCTCAGCATGCAGAGATGAAGCTTGCATTTCATCACATCTCTAGACAGCGTCTGCTGGGATAAAGTAAAGTCAGACCGTCAGTAATCGCATGATCTACCCTGATGTGAAGCCGAGGCAGACTGCATTATCCCACATATGAGAGATACATGAATCCAGCACATTTTGAAGAACGCTGGAAACCAAACAACATTGGAGTCCATTGACTGGACAAAAAAACAAGATGTTTGAAAGATTATGTGTTCTTCAGTTATCTTTATTAAGATGCATTTCCATTGTGACTGTGCCTCAGATGTATTTGCAATCAACTGTAGCCAACTGTATTTTTGTTTTACAAAAGTATGACCCAAATGGCCCACATAATTAGCTCCTTTGGTCAGCATCGGGTCAGTGTATCATGGGCCCTCCATGGGAGAGGTCCTATCAGGCTATCATGAGGTTATAGTATCATTGGCTCTCCATGGGGTGTTATTGTATTGTTTGTGGCACATTTGTATAAAGGTCTGGTCTCACAGACAGTATCTTGGGTTAAATTTCTTTGAAGGATGACATGCTAACATTGCTACTGAAGAACTGCTACGTTACCACCTTCAATAAATTCTTCTTCCCACCAGAACTCTGGTCAAGCTTAATTTTTTATTATTAGAGAAATCAAATACTTTGACAAGCCACCCAAACCACTGCTTACTCAAATACAGCAAAATCTAACAATTTGGCCAGGAGAAACTGACCTGAATACAGTAACCCAATTTTTTGAATTTCTTTTGAATTCAAAATTTGCAAGATTTTAAAATGTAAGAAAGTAAAGTGTCATCAACAGGTTGTGCTGAAATGAATGCACAAACTATGATTATGACCACTTGATGCAGCACTGCAGTCAAGGGGGCGGGTTTGTGATGCATCGATCACCTACACTGGCCCCGCCCCTACAGTCACTGCTCATCTGCATAATCATGAGCTCTGTTCAACTTCACAGACAGTCGCTCACAGACAGAACAAACATCATGTAAAATCAATGACATGCCGTTGTCGCAAATCACCATCAGCGTGAATGGCAAAGAGTTTTCCTTTGGGATCAAATTAAGCACTCTCACAACAAACACTGTGTGTGTCATTTTATTATAGATTTACACACCACAAATATCACAAAGCTGTTTAAAGGTTAAGATTTGAAGGTTTGAAGGTTAAGTGTTAAGAAAGTTTAGATATTTGTATTGGAAAAAGACATAATTCTTTGCAGCGCAAACATACACTCAAGGTTCAGAGTTGGTGCAGATGAAGTTGAGCCTGATGGTCGGAGGAAGGCTGACCCAGCGCTGATCTCCAGCCGACTGAATAGCTCCGGCTCTTTGCTCGCGGCAGTCGTGCGCTCTGGTGCCGTTCCCCGCGGCCCAGTTCTGATAACAGACCACCTCGCCACGCAGCCACAGCCACATGTTCATGCTGCAGTAGTGATGTAAACCCATCCACACGGCCGCTGTCGAGGCTCTTCTCGCCACGTTCATCACCCGCTGCTCGATCTGAGGGCTGGGCACCGACACCAGGTCCACGTGGTTCTGTCTGCAGTACGTCATGGCTTCACTCCAGCTCAGATTCTGCTTGATGAGTATGAACTGATCTGGAAGAGAAATTTTAGATTTTCGTTGATGACGTTCTCTCATTTTACACATGCAAGTCCAAGCATCGACTCACCTTTTTGACAGACGAAGGTAAATTGTGAATTACACGGCCAGTCCTCCCACTGTCCCGTTCTTGATCCACTCTTCACTAGCACAGTGGCGTTTTCATTGCTGTGGGGTTCAGTGGGTGCCCAGTTTCTAAACGAGGATGTACTCTTGTCGGACCATTCCCATGAGTCTCTGAACAGACCGATCCAGACTCCAGTGTTTATGAGCTGCTGAATCTGCTGGTTCTCACTCTGGCTCCTCACGCTGCTCAGATCCATGTGATTCGCTCTGCAGAAGCTCTGAGCATTTCTCCAGCTCATCGACTGCTGCACAAGGACGAATCCTTTACTGCTGTCTGCATGTGAAGAGAAAATCAAGAAATGTCCCTTTGTTTACCAGTGATGATCTAGTGCACACGTTTCATCCAAACTACGCTGTGGAGAGAATCAATCACTGCAGCAGATATAAATACGGCAAACGTTCATTAGAATCCAGTGAAAGCGTTTTGAAAAGATACGTCATCATGATTTGGTTGGTTGCACCCTTCACTGGCTATTACATGGAAAATACAAATTAAACATTCAACAACATAATAGCAAATGCAATATAATAAAAACAAACATTTTATAAAACTGATGTTATGCAAAAAGACAAAACTGAGTACAATTCTGTAAAAGATTTGATGTTTATACTGAGTGATCGGGGGGCCTCATTGATCTGAGCTTCTGCACTCAGTTTTTAAGTGAAAAAAAAGCATTATTTGTGGATAATTTTGGAAATGTTTACTCAAAAACTGTGCATAAGCTTAGATCAATGAGCCTACAATCAATCAGTTCCAAATCTTTGTGAAGTTTTCATACCGTGTGAGTTTTAGTCCAATGCGATAACATTGACTAGAGTTTTCAGGAAAAGGAAAATCCGTTCTGTGTGATTGACTCACCATTGTAGCAGATGAAAGACCTTTGGTTATTACAGCTGTCATCATGCCACAGTCCGTCCTGACTCATATAAGCACAGTAATATGAACCATTGTTCGGCTGATTCGATGCCCAGTTGCGAAACAGTAAATCATGAGCAGTGTAAAACGCAGGGTCTCCCTGAGACCACTTCCATTCACTCCTGAGGGTTTCCATCAGCCCGATCCAGACGGCATAATCAGCAGATTTGGTCACGATCTTCAGCAGCTCGGTCACGTCGGCGCTGTTGTCAATGGAGGCCAGATCACTGTAGTTCTCACGGCAGTATCTCTGAGCATCAGTGCAGTTCATCCTCATCTGAACAAACTCATACTGACGAAGAGCCGATGAGCTGAAGACGGCTGCGGAGGGCAAGGTTTAATTTCAGACTTTTTCATGTTTGACAATAACTTTACCGTCACTATGAAATGAATACTCGTCAATGCAGTGGTCTCAAACTTAGTTCCTGGAGGGCCACAGTCCTGCAGAGTTTAGGTCCAACCAGCTCCAACTCACCTGCTTGGTAGTTTTTAGTAAACCTGAAGGGCTTGATGAGCTTGTTCAGGTGTGTTTAATTAGGGTTGGAGCTGAACTCTGCAGGACTGTGGCCTTCCAGGAACTTATGATGTATTCAAGTCCTCCTGGGAAATTCGTATTTACAAGTTGGGAAGTCGTAATTCCGATGTCAGGTGCATTCAAGTCACTTTGGTGACTTTGGGGAAGTCGTGGCCTAATGGTTAGAGTCGGACTCGTAACCCAAAGGTTGCGGGTTCGAGTCTCATACCAGCAGGGATTGTAGGTGGGGGGAGTGAATGTACAGCGCTCTCTCCCACCTTCAGTACCACGACTGAGGTGCTCTTGAGCAAGGCACCGAACCCCCAACTGCTCCCCGGACGCCGCAGCATAAATGGCTGCCCACTGCTCCGGGTGTGTGTTCACGGTGTGTGTGTGTGTGTGTTCACTGCTGTGTGAGTGTACTTTGGATAGGTTAAATGCAGAGCACTAATTCCTAGTATTGGTCACATGTCACATGTCATGTCACTTGTACCATTTCTACATACAATTCAGCAAGATTTTTTTTTAACTGTCCTTCTAAAACATGATGAATAAAACGCGTTTAAAGTGTGTTTTGCTTTTTTTGATGTTTTATTGAATTTGAGGGTTCTGTAAATATATTTAATAATTGTACAATACAATGGTATTTTGTATATGCAACTTAGTTTTATTGTAAATTATGTATACAGTATATACAGCATATATTTCCAATCGGCGTTATATAAAAAATTGTCCTGGCCCCTCCAAGCCTTTCAATGGGGTTAAGTGGGTGTTGGTTGTCAACAGTTCAGAAGACGTGAAATAAAGTGCCTGCATCCGTAATAAAACGTCCCTCACACGGCTCCGGGGGGTGAATAAAGACTTCCTGTAGCGAATCCATGCATTTTTGTAAGATAAATATCCATATTTGAAACGTAATAAACACTTTTTTCTCACTTCCGGTATTCTGTCATATGCGGAAGCCATTCCGGCGGATGATGTAAGATGTAGGCGTTGCGTGATAAGTGGCGAACGCAGAGACAAAACAAAACAAAATGCCGTTCACGAATTAGAAGCACAAAACGAGGATTTGTAAAGAAAAATGTCGGAGGATTTCGATATAAGCCAAGAGGAGACTGGTTTTCCTTTGCTCCTGCATTTCTCAGAGGCGCGCGCGCACACGACACATACGTCTTACGTCATTCGCCTGCTCGGCTTCCGCGTAGCACAGTCAGCGGAAGTGAGAAAAAAAGTGTTTATTACGTTTGGAGACCAGGACAACTAGATGAGCCCCAGATACAGATGTTATTCCCCTGTAAAGACCTTGTCTCAGATGACCACCGGGACAAGACCACAGGAACCAGATGATTCCTCTGCACAATGTGACTTTGCTAGCCTGAAATTGAACTGCTGGTTTTGTCTGGCCAGAGGAGAACTGGCCCTCCGACTGAGCCTGGTTTCTCCCAAGTTTTTTTCTCCATTCTGTCACCGATGGAGTTTTGGTTCCTTGCCGCTGTCGCCTCTGGCTTGCTTAGTTGGGTACACTTCATTTCCAGCGATATCGTTGATTTGATTGCAAATGATTGCAAAGATACTTTTTAAACTGAACTGAGCTGGATGATGACATCACTGAATTCAATGATGAACTGCCTTTAACTGATGAGTGAGTGTTTACTATTGTCACTTTGCATTATTGACACACTATTTTCCTAATTAATGCTGTTCAGTTGCTTTGACACAATCTGTATTGTTAAAAGCGCTATATAAATAAAGGTAACTTGACTTGATATATATATATATATATACTGTATATATATAATTTCAGTCATTTTAACAAATTTTCCGTCAATACAGATGCTGCATTCATTGCATGTTTTCTCAGTGAACATGCCCCAACTCAGACCCCAAACTCAGGGTTTACAGAAAATTCAGTTTCCCACTTGTAATTATGAGTTTGTGATGCCGTTCATTTGTGTTCAGCTCATAAATACGCTCTATCTGACACGACTTGAGTGCACCATGAGTTTGAGACCACTGCATTAAGGATGCATTAAGTTGATCATTATACATTATAAATGTATAATGCTACAAAAGATTTCCATTTCAAAGAAATGCTGTTCTTTTGAAATTTCTATTCATCTGTGAATTCTGAAAAATTAAATGGTTTCACGGTTTGCACAAAAATATTGTGCAGCACAACTGTTTTCAACATTGATAATAATCAGAAATGTTTCTTGAGCAGCAAATCAGCATATTAGAATGATTTCTGAAGATCATGTGACACTGAAGACTGGAGTAATGATGCTGAAAATACAGCTTTGATCACAGAAATACATTACAGAATAACACATTCACATAGAATACAGCTGCTTTAAACTGTAATAATATTTCACATTTTATACTGTATTTTTGATCAAATAAATGCAGCTGTGGTGAGCAGAAACATTAACAATCCTAAAGAACCCAAACTTGTGCAGGGTGATTATAAAGGCAGACACGTGTACCTGCGAGCAGAAGCGTGACGAACACTGTGTCCAGCTCCATTTCTGAGGAGTTTGTGTGCATCTGATGATCTGTCCATCTCTCTCGTGCTCTTTCTCAGCTCCTCCCATGAAACCTCATCCAATCCTGCGTGTGTCTGCTGAGCTTCACCTCAGCTAAACATGATTTTCTTGCTTACTATTTCTTCCAGTATTCCAGTACAAATATCTAAAGATTCTTCAATCAGGAAACCAGCACAGAGGAGAACCAGGATCATACTTATTCTATCTTTGAAAAACAACAGCAAAATAGACCAAACAGAGAATGCAAACTGGACAAGTTAACACATATATTTGTCTTATTTACTGGGAAACAACACAAAGACCCGAACACACAAAATCAACTGACAATAACTGAGATTATAAACCAGTTTCAGCACAATGCATTTCATGCGTTTGGCTGATGCTTTTATACAAACAATAAGAGTATTGTTTAATATTAGTTTCTCTATTACAAAAATTAAAACAATAAGGGAAAAAACTTCAAAATGGAGAAACACTCGTCCAAACACTGTTTAATAAAGTATAAACAGACACGCACTATAAGTAATCAGAGAGTCAGTTGCATTAGGGGTTGTTTAGTACCTGGTTTCTATTGTTTAGATTAATAGTTGCTGCTGGGAAGAATTTGTATAGTCGCTATTTTTATTCTTATTTTAATAAGCAAACAAATACTGCATTTGTTTGTAATTAGAATAATACCTGCTGGCAAGAGGAAGTTAATTTGTTATTTGTACTGCTCGTTTCATCCGTGGCTGTAAGCAGGGCTTGATACTGACTGAGGTCTGGGATGCTATAATAACACCTACAAACACAACTCATTATAGACCCTCTTTTAACTTTAAAAGAGACAGGCATGTAGATGTTTGTCTTACTGTCAGCAATCACGTGCCCGTGCTCTCTATGGGCTTTTTTGATTGTTGTCAGTGTAAATATTTGTTATTGTTGCCAGGTTTTGCTACAATAACAAACAAAAACAAGCCCCCAAAAAGTTAAATAAACCAAAATAAGATAAAGATATCATTAACTCCAATAGAACCTCGATATGAAAATAGTTTTGCAAAGGTGCACAGATCCTCATTCACACGATATGAGCACATGCAGAACAGCGGTCGCTCGTGCATTCATGCACTGTAAAACAAGTTCGATTAAAAATAGTTGAAACTCATTACATCAAAAATTATCATTGTAGAAATTCTTTGGTGTTCTGCAAAAGAAAGTGTAAATGAGGGCTAGGCAGCGTTTTCATGTTGAGTGGACTATCTCTCTAAATTCTAGACAACATGATCACTTACAGCGCACATCTTGAGAAAGTTGGAGTCATCCTCAAGCAGATTGCCTGAAAAGAAAGCCACTGAGAAGTTAGTCAGGTTGTAATAAACACTAGAAAAAATATCTGTAAAGCACATGGCACAAATCAGTTATCTAACTTCTAGGGGATCACCAGAGGCCTCACGATACGATATTATCACGATACTTGTGTCACGATACAATATTATTGCAGTTTTAAATATATTGCGATATTCTGCGATATATTGCAATTTATTACCTTTTTCCAACTTCAAATTATGTCCCCAAAGGAAAACTTTGACAACATCTGTTTTAACTAGAAATAAACATTTCTCAGTTTATCTCACTTCAGTTTTATTGTTGCAGTGTAAAATGGGATTTTCAAGCAGACAAACTGACCAACACTTTCATGAAAACCTGTCATAAATGTTGTATGCACCTGGCAAACTCAACTATTAGTATTACAGTCTAATCTAGAAGGTGACCCAGCTGACCTCACCAGAAAAAACTCAACACCACCATCTAGTGGATTGTAAAGACATTTATTTTATTATTCTACCAAATAGTATAATAAAAGATCGATACTTGGCGTCCATGTATCGATACAGTATTGCCGCGGAAAATATCGCGATACTATGCTGTATCATTTTTCCCCCACCCCTACTAACTTCATAAGCATTATGTGAAATATGCTGCTTAGTCTGATCTCATAATACAAACCTTAAACTGTTAAATATTTATTTCAACCTTACAACTTACTTTTTGAAATGTAAAATTTTAAACAAGAACACAAAAATGTTTAAATAACACAAGCTTTACTGGCATGGCTTGAGCGGACTACATAAATACATTTTATAATACCTGTCCTTACAGAAATACATGGAAAAAAGTGAATCAAATTATTGCGAAACCTCTATGAAAACCATTACTTTATGTCTAGCCATGAGTGCCAATTAAATAGGAGTTTCAACCCGATATTTTGAGGTCATTAAAATTTGCTACCGAAAACCTTTTAATGTGTGCACACCCGAAGCAAAAAGGCAGACTTTGACATACATTTTTAAAAAATCTAAATACAGTAGCTTCAACAATTCAATCAAGTTTGAGTTTTAAGATGAAAGTCTAGATACCACATTAAAGAGCTGGCAAACCAATCCAGAAAGAATTCGGTGAGACTAATCAAGAGGGAACTAGAATATTCCAGAAAGGACTGAAGGGCCAGGAATCAGGGTCGTTACTGTGAGACCTAGAGAGGTCTAGAGTGGCTATAGAGGGGTCTAGAGGGGCTATAGAGGGGTCTAGAGTGGCTATAGAGGGGTCTAGAGGGGCTATAGAGGGGTCTAGGTGGGCTATAGAGGGGTCTAGAGGAGCTATAGAGGGGTCTAGAGGGGCTATAGAGGGGTCTAGATGGGCTATAGAGGGGTCTAGAGGAGCTATAGAGGGGTCTAGAGGGGCTATAGAGGGGTCTAGATGGGCTATAGAGGGGTCTAGAGGAGCTATAGAGCTATAGGTATTCAAGGGCAGGCTTTAAGATGGTTTAGATCCTACCTGTCCGATCGCTACCACTTTGTTCATTTAAAT